GAACGCTTTTTCTTGTTTTTGAAGGGTCACATTGCTGGCTCCAAATCTATTAAAATTGACATAATCTTCGCGTTTTTCATTTATAAGATCAATTTTGCTTGTTACAGGAACACTTGTAAATGGCGTGAGATTAACATGCACATTCTCCATACTCATTCCTTTACCGTTCATCTGGCGCTAACGAGGAGAATTTGACTAGAAATCACAATGTTTTTCGCTGCTGAGCAGTTTCCTCTTTTTTCAGCAGTTTATGATTGATACTGTTCAGTGGTAGGATATATAGCGAGAATGTAAATTGATGTTGATCACTGTTCACCGTACAAAAAGTGTTTCTTGTGATCACCGACTGAAAGCAAACGCACCGACGGACATTTCAAGTATTTCAATATTATACAAAACTTCAGCTAAAATCAAAATTGCCCGTCGGAAAAAACGTCAAAGCGCTAAGTGCTTTTTTAAATGTAAAAGCGGTCAGAAAGATACAAGAATCGTGATTAAAAGGAAGCTTTTGCAAAGCCGAGAAGGTTACAGTTTCCATTATGTTTGGTTAACTTTGGTTTGTTTTGGTTCTTGGACCTGTGGGACCTCAGGGACCTCTGGGCCGAAGGTTCACGATGTCATTATTTTCAACAGCCCATCAGGGGCAAGAATTTGATTTGCATATGAATAACATACAAAAAAACCATTGAATTTGTAACCGAGCCAGGATAGCGCAATTAGCATAAGCATTGAATCGGTAATGAATTGGCAAACAAAGAGGTGACGGGTTCGAATCCCGCCTGATTAGCATGAAAAAGGAAAAAAAAGAAAAAAATCGCGGCTTGGATCTGGGAGGGCTTGGGGCGAGGAGAGGGAAGAAAAAAGGCCTTGGGAAGGGTACGGGAAGCGGGAGTTGGTACACCGGGCCCGGGGCGGGGCCAGGGAGAGGGCAGGGGGGGGGGGGGGCAGGATAGATAGGGGTAAGTAGATAGCTAGAGGGGTAGGTAGATAGATAGATAGATAGATAGATAATAGATAGATAGATAGATAGGTAGAGGGGGGGGGTAGGTAGATAGGTAGATAGGTAGAGGGCGGGGGGATGGGGGGGGGAAGGAAGGGAGGAAGGAAGGAAAGGAGGGGTGATCTAGCCTGCGAGCAAGGTCTCTTGCTGCCGGGATTGGGGGAGGGTTGGGTGGGGTGGGGCAGTGAGAGACCTTGCTCGCAGGCTAGACCCGGGAGGGTTTTGCTGCTCAGCACAGTTTTTTTTTTTTTCTTACTTTTATAAAATTCTTGACTCAAAATAAGGACATTTGGAAAAGAATGCATTCACGTAAAAAAAAAAAGGGGAAAAAAGGACGTGTGCGAAGAAACAAGCGAAATTTATGATTAGACATTTGTCATTACTCAGGATCAACTTCTCCACACTTTGAGACCCACTGGACGCTTTTTCCCACATTCAACTTCGCGAGTTAGTCTACTTATAGTACGTTCCTTTTCTTTAATGCAGTGGATAAACAGACCATGAAGTTGCAAACTGCTCTTCGTCTGAAGTTGGAGAATTTTCGTTATTGGTCATGGACCTTGGGGACATTTAACAGCCTGATTTTAAGAGTGGATTGGAAATAGCTTCAATTAACCTTGCCTGCGAAAGAAACACGACCTGATGGAATTACTAATCGTCAATAGGCCGGGCAAACAATGTTTGTTTGGTTCATCTTGTCAAGTGACTTTTGGTTCAAGTTGGAAACTGATGGAGATCTCCTGGAAATGTCCCTGTGTTTTTTTTTATGTCTCAAGTAAGAGGATGTAAGTATATTTCATTGTGGAAAAAAAGTCTTTCAGCTGCCTTAGGATACGCAGGATATCACCTTGTTTTGATCTTTCAGGCTGATTTCACGATTCTGTCACAAGTTTTCGGTCGCATCGGTAGCATTTTAGTATGATTTACAGTGCTACTTGCAGATTTGCTATTGCAGTTATAAGGGTACCAGATTCAGACTAGGGTACTGTAGTTGCCTAGTTAGAGAAGAACGCTTTTTCTTGTTTTTGAAGGGTCACATTGCTGGCTCCAAATCTATTAAAATTGACATAATCTTCGCGTTTTTCATTTATAAGATCAATTTTGCTTGTTACAGGAACACTTGTAAATGGCGTGAGATTAACATGCACATTCTCCATACTCATTCCTTTACCGTTCATCTGGCGCTAACGAGGAGAAATTTGACTAGAAATCACAATGTTTTTCACTGCTCAGCAGTTTCCTCTTTTTTCAGCAGTTTATGATTGATACTGTTCGGTGGTAGGATATATAGCGAGAATGTAAATTGATGTTGATCACTGTTCACCGTACAAAAAGTGTTTCTTGTGATCACCGACTGAAAGCAAACGCACCGACGGACATTTCAAGTATTTCAATATTACACAAAACTTCAGCTAAAATCAAAATTGCCCGTCGGAAAAAACGTCAAAGCGCTAAGTGCTTTTTTAAATGTAAAAGCGGTCAGAAAGATACAAGAATCGTGATTAAAAGGAAGCTTTTGCAAAGCCGGGAAGGTTACAGTTTCCATTATGTTTGGTTAACATTGGTTTGTTTTGGTTCTTGGACCTGTGGGACCTCAGGGACCTCTGGGCCGAAGGTTCATGATGTCATTATTTTCAACAGCCAATCAGGGGCAAGAATTTGATTTGCATATGAATAACATACAAAAAAACCATTGAATTTGTAACCGAGCCGGGATAGCGCAATTAGCATAAGCATTGAATCGGTAATGAATTGGCAAACAAAGAGGTGACGGGTTCGAATCCCGCCTGATTAGCATGAAAAAGGAAAAAAAAGAAAAAAAATCGCGGCTTGGATCTGGGAGGGCTTGGGGCGAGGAGAGGGAAGAAAAAAGGCCTTGGGAAGGGTACGGGAAGCGGGAGTTGGTACACCGGCCCGGGGGCGGGCCGGGGAGAGGGCAGGGGGGGGGGCAGGCGGGAGGGGGGTAAGTAGATAGCTAGAGGGGTAGGTAGATAGATAGATAGATAGATAGATAGATAAATAGATAGATAGGTAGAGGGGGGTAGGTAGATAGGTAGATAGGTAGAGGGCGGAGGGATGGGAGGGGGAAGGGAAGGGAAGGGAGGGGGAAAGGGAGGGGGTGGTCTAGCCTGCGAGCAAGGTCTCTTGCTGCCGGGATTGGGGGAGGGTTGGGTGGGGTGGGGCAGTGAGAGACCTTGCTCGCAGGCTAGACCCGGGGAGGGTTTTGCTGCTCAGCACAGTTTTTTTTCTTCTTACTTTTATAAAATTCTTGACTCAAAATAAGGACATTTGGAAAAGAATGCATTCACGTAAAAAAAAAAAAAAAAGGAAAAAAGGACGTGTGCGAAGAAACAAGCGAAATTTATGATTAGACATTTGTCATTACTCAGGATCAACTTCTCCACACTTTGAGACCCACTGGACGCTTTTTTCACACATTCAACTTCGCGAGTTAGTCTACTTATAGTACGTTCCTTTTCTTTAATGCAGTGGATAAACAGACCATGAAGTTGCAAACTGCTCTTCGTCTGAAGTTGGAGAATTTTCGTTATTGGTCATGGACCTTGGGGACATTTAACAGCCTGATTTTAAGAGTGGATTGGAAATAGCTTCAATTAACCTTGCCTGCGAAAGAAACACGACCTGATGGAATTACTAATCGTCAATAGGCCGGGCAAACAATGTTTGTTTGGTTCATCTTGTCAAGTGACTTTTGGTTCAAGTTGGAAACTGATGGAGATCTCCTGGAAATGTCCCTGTCTTTTTTTTTTATGTCTGAAGTAAGAGGATGTAAGTATATTTCATTGTGGAAAAAAAGTCTTTCAGCTGCCTTAGGATACGCAGGATATCACCTTGTTTTGATCTTTCAGGCTGATTTCACGATTCTATGACAAGTTTTCAGTCGCATCGGTAGCATTTTAGTATGATTTACAGTGCTACTTGCAGATTTGCTATTGCAGTTATAAGGGTACCACATTCAGACTAGGGTACTGTAGTTGCCTAGTTAGAGAAGAACGCTTTTTCTTGTTTTTGAAGGGTCACATTGCTGGCTCCAAATCTATTAAAATTGACATAATCTTCGCGTTTTTCATTTATAAGATCAATTTTGCTTGTTACAGGAACACTTGTAAATGGCGTGAGATTAACATGCACTTTCTCCATACTCATTCCTTTACCGTTCATCTGGCGCTAACGAGGAGAAATTTGACTAGAAATCACAATGTTTTTCGCTGCTGAGCAGTTTCCTCTTTTTTCAGCAGTTTATGATTGATACTGTTCAGTGGTAGGATATATAGCGAGAATGTAAATTGATGTTGATCACTGTTCACCGTACAAAAAGTGTTTCTTGTGATCACCGACTGAAAGCAAACGCACCGACGGACATTTCAAGTATTTCAATATTATACAAAACTTCAGCTAAAATCAAAATTGCCCGTCGGAAAAACTTCAAAGCGCTAAGTGCTTTTTTAAATGTAAAAGCGGTCAGAAAGATACAAGAATCGTGATTAAAAGGAAGCTTTTGCAAAGCCGAGAAGGTTCCAGTTTCCATTATGTTTGGTTAACTTTGGTTTGTTTTTGTTCTTGGACCTGTGGGACCACAGGGACCTCTTGGCCGAAGGTTCATGATGTCATTATTTTCAACAGCCAATCAGGGGCAAGAATTTGATTTGCATATGAACAACATACAAAAAAACCATTGAATTTGTAACCGAGCCGGGATAACGCAATTAGCATAAGCATTGAATCGGTAATGAATTGGCAAACAAAGAGGTGACGGGTTCGAATCCCGCCTGATTAGCATGAAAAAGGAAAAAAAAAAAAAAAATCGCGGCTTGGATCTGGGAGGGCTTGGGGCGAGGAGAGGGAAGAAAAAAGGCCTTGGGAAGGGTACGGGAAGCGGGAGTTGGTACACCGGCCCGGGGCGGGCCGGGGAGAGGGCAGGGAGAGGGGGGGGGGGCGGAGGGGGTAAGTAGATAGCTAGAGGGGGGGGTAGATAGATAGATAGATAGATAGATAGATAGATAGATAGATAGATAGATAGATAGATAGATAGATAGATAGATAGATAGATAGATAGATAGATAGATAGATAGATAGATAAATAGATAGATAGGTAGAGGGGGGTAGGTAGAAAGGCAGAGGGCGAAGGGATGGGAGGGGGAAGGGAAGGGAAGGGAGGGGGAAAGGGAGGGGCGGTCTAGCCTGCGAGCAAGGTCTCTTGCTGCCGGGATTGGGGGGAGGGTTGGGTGGGGTGGGGCAGTGAGAGACCTTGCTCGCAGGCTAGACCCGGGGAGGGTTTTGCTGCTCAGCACAGTTTTTTTTCTTCTTACTTTTATAAAATTCTTGACTCAAAATAAGGACATTTGGAAAAGAATGTATTCACGTAATAAAAAAAGGGGAAAAAAGGACGTGTACGAAGAAACAAGCGAAATTTATGACTAGACATTTGTCATTACTCAGGATCAACTTCTCCACACTTTGAGACCCACTGGACGCTTTTTCCCACATTCAACTTCGCGAGTTAGTCTACTTATAGTACGTTCCTTTTCTTTAATGCAGTGGATAAACAGACCATGAAGTTGCAAACTGCTCTTCGTCTGTTGGAGAATTTTCGTTATTGGTCATGGACCTTGGGGACATTTAACAGCCTGATTTTAAGAGTGGATTGGAAATAGCTTCAATTAACCTTGCCTGCGAAAGAAACACGACCTGATGGAATTACTAATCGTCAATAGGCCGGGCAAACAATGTTTGTTTGGTTCATCTTGTCAAGTGACTTTTGGTTCAAGTTGGAAACTGATGGACATCTCCTGGAAGTGTCCCTGTGTTTTTTTTTTATGTCTCAAGTAAGAGGATGTAAGTATATTTCATTGTGGAAAAAAAGTCTTTCAGCTGCCTTAGGACACGCAGGATATCACCTTGTTTTGATCTTTCAGGCTGATTTCACGATTCTATGACACGTTTTCGGTAGCATCGGTAGCATTTTAGTATGATTTACAGTGCTACTTGCAGATTTGCTATTGCAGTTATAAGGGTACCAGATTCAGACTATGGTACTGTAGTTGCCTAGTTAGAGAAGAACGCTTTTTCTTGTTTTTGAAGGGTCACATTGCTGGCTCCAAATCTATTAAAATTGACATAATCTTCGCGTTTTTCATTTATAAGATCAATTTTGCTTGTTACAGGAACACTTGTAAATGGCGTGAGATTAACATGTACATTCTCCATACTCATTCCTTTACCGTTCATCTGGCGCTAACGAGGAGAATTTGACTAGAAATCACAATGTTTTTCGCTGCTGAGCAGTTTCCTCTCTTTTCAGCAGTTTATGATTGATACTGTTCAGTGGTAGGATATATAGCGAGAATGTAAATTGATGTTGATCACTGTTCACCGTACAAAAAGTGTTTCTTGTGATCACCGACTGAAAGCAAACGCACCGACGGACATTTCAAGTATTTCAATATTATACAAAACTTCAGCTAAAATCAAAATTGCCCGTCGGAAAAAACGTCAAAGCGCTAAGTGCTTTTTTAAATGTAAAAGCGGTCAGAAAGATACAAGAATCGTGATTAAAAGGAAGCTTTTGCAAAGCCGAGAAGGTTACAGTTTCCATTATGTTTGGTTAACTTTGGTTTGTTTTGGTTCTTGGACCTGTGGGACCTAAGGGACCTCTGGGCCGAAGGTTCATGATGTCATTATTTTCAACAGCCAATCAGGGGCAAGAATTTGATTTGCATATGAATAACATACTAAAAAACCATTGAATTTGTAACCGAGCCGGGATAGCGCAATTAGCATAAGCATTGAATCGGTAATGAATTGGCAAACAAAGAGGTGACGGGTTCGAATCCCGCCTGATTAGCATGAAAAAGGAAAAAAAAAAAAAATGGCGGCTTGGATCTGGGAGGGCTTGGGGCGAGGAGAGGGAAGAAAAAAGGCGTTGGGAAGGGTACGGGAAGCGGGAGATGGTACACCGGCCCGGGGGCGGGCCGGGGAGAGGGCAGGGAGAGGGAGGCAGGCGGGAGGGGGGTAAGTAGATAGCTAGAGGGGTAGGTAGATAGATAGATAGATAGATAGATAGATAGATAGATAGATAGATAGATAGATAGATAGATAGATAGATAGATAGATAGATAGATAGATAGATAGATAGATACTAGAGGGGGGTAGGTAGATAGGTAGATAGGTAGAGGGCGGAGGGATGGGAGGGGGATGGGAAGGGAAGGGAAGGAAAGGGAGGGGCGGTCTAGCCTGCGAGCAAGGTCTCTTGCTGCCGGGATTGGGGGGAGGGTTGGGTGGGGTGGGGCAGTGACAGACCTTGCTCGCAGGCTAGACCCGGGGAGGGTTTTGCTCCTCAGGACAGTTTTTTTTCTTCTTACTTTTATAAAATTCTTCACTCAAAATAAGGACATTTGGAAAAGAATGCATTCACGTAAAAAAAAAGGGGGGAAAAGGACGTGTGCGAAGAAACAGGCGAAATTTATGATTAGACATTTGTCATTACTCAGAATCAACTTCTCCACACTTTGAGACCCACTGGACGCTTTTTCCCACATTCCTTGGCGAGTTAGTCTACTTATAGTATTTTCCTTTTCTTTAATGCAGTGGGGATAAACAGACCATGAAGTTCAAAACTGCTCTTCGTCTGAAGTTGGAGAATTTTCTTCCTTGGTCAACGACCTTGGGGACATTTAACAGCCTGACTTAAAGACTGGATTGGAAGTACCTTGAATTAACCTTGCCTGCGAAAGAAACACGACCTGATGGAATTTCTAAACGTCAAAAGGCCGGGCAAACAATTTAATTTGTTTGGTTCATCTTGTCAAGACTTTTGGGTCAAGTTCGAAACTGATGGAGATCTCCTGGAAATGTCCCTGGGACTCTTGTGCTGTCTCAAGTTAGAGAATGTAAGTATATTTCATTCTGGAAAAAAAACGTCTTTCACCTGCCGTAGGACAGGCAGGACATCACCTTGCTTTGATCTTTCAGGCTCATTTCATGATCATGATTTCGGTGGCATCGGTAGCATTTTAGTATGATTTACAGTGCTACTTGCAGATTAACTATTGCAGTTATAAGGGTACCGGATTCAGACTCGGGTACTGTAGTTGCCTAGTTAGAGGAGAACGCTTTTTCTTGTTTTGGAAGGCTCATATTGCCGGCTCCAAATCTATTAAGAGTGATATAACCTTCGCCTTTTTCATTTATAAGACCAATTTTGCTTGTTGCAGGAACACTTGTAAATGGCGTGAGATCAACATGCACATTCTCCATACTCATTCCTTAACCGTTCATCTGGCAGTAACGAGGAGAAATTGATTAGAAATCAGAATGTTTTTCGTTGCTGAGCAGTTTCCTCTATTTTCAGCCTTTTATGATTGATACTGTTCAGTGGTAGGATATATAGCGAGAATGTAAATTGATGTTGATCACTGTTAACCGTACAGAAACTGTTTCTTGCGATCACAACTGAAAGCAAACGCACCGATGGACATTTCAAGTGTATTTGAATATTATTCAAAACCTACAGCTAAAATCAAAATTGCCCGTCGGAAAACCGTGAAAGCGCTTGCTTTTTTTTTTTAACTGTAGGAGCGTTCAGAAAGATACAAGAATCCATTGAAAAGAGGCTTTCGCAAAGCCGAGAAGGCTACAGTTTCCATTATGTTTGGTAAACTCTGGTTTGTTTTGGTGCTTGGACCTCTGGAACCTCTGGGACCTCTGGGCCAAAGGTTCATGATGTCATTATTTTCAACAGCCAATGAGGGGCAAGAATTTGATTTGCATATGAATAACATTCAAAAAAACCATTGAATTTCTAACCGAGCCGGGATAGCGCAATTGGCAGAAGCATTGAATAGGCAACTAATTGGCAAACAAAGAGGCAAACAAAGAGGTGACGGGTTCGAGTCCCGCCTGATTAGCATAAAAAAGGAAAAAAAGGAAAAAAGCGCGGCTTGGATTTGGGAGGGCTTGGGGCGAGGAGAGGGAGGAAAAAAGGCCTTGGGAAGGGTATGGGAAGCGGGAGTTGGTACACCGGCCCGGGGGCGGGCCAGGTGGAGGGCAGGGAGAGGGGGGCAGGCGGGAGGGGGGTATGTAGATAGGTAGATGGGTAGGTAGGGGGTAGGTAGATAATTAGATAGGCAGCTAGGTAGAGGGGTAGGTAGAGGGGGGGGGGTAGATAGGTAGAAGGCGGAGGGATGGGAGGGGCAAGGGAAGGGAAGGGAAGGGAAGGGAAGGGAAGGGAGGGGGGAAAAGGGAGGGGAGGGGGGCTAGCCTGCGAGCAAGGTGTCTTGCTGCCGGGATTGGGGGGAGGTTTGGGTGGGGTGGGGCAGTGAGAGACCTTGCTCGCAGGCTAGACCCGGGGAGGGTTTTGCTGCTCAGCACAATTTTTTTTCTTCTTACCTTTGTGAAATTCTTGACTTAAAATAAGTCTTTTTAGAAAAAGACGCATTCACGTAAGAAAAGAACGGGAAGAAAAGGACGTGTGCGAAGAAACAAGCGAAATTTATGATTATACAGTTGTCAATACTTGGCATCAACTTCTCCACACTTTGAGACCCACAGGACGCTTTTTCTCACATTCCTTGGCGAGTTAGTCTACTTATAGTATTTTCCTTTTCTTTAATGCAGTGGGGATAAACAGACCATGAAGTTCAAAACTGCTCTTCGTCTGAAGTTGGAGAATTTTCTTCCTTGGTCAACGACCTTGGGGACATTTAACAGCCTGACTTAAAGACTGGATTGGAAGTACCTTGAATTAACCTTGCCTGCGAAAGAAACACGACCTGATGGAATTTCTAAACGTCAAAAGGCCGGGCAAACAATTTAATTTGTTTGGTTCATCTTGTCAAGACTTTTGGGTCAAGTTCGAAACTGATGGAGATCTCCTGGAAATGTCCCTGGGACTCTTGTGCTGTCTCAAGTTAGAGAATGTAAGTATATTTCATTCTGGAAAAAAAACGTCTTTCACCTGCCGTAGGACAGGCAGGACATCACCTTGCTTTGATCTTTCAGGCTCATTTCATGATCATGATTTCGGTGGCATCGGTAGCATTTTAGTATGATTTACAGTGCTACTTGCAGATTAACTATTGCAGTTATAAGGGTACCGGATTCAGACTCGGGTACTGTAGTTGCCTAGTTAGAGGAGAACGCTTTTTCTTGTTTTGGAAGGCTCATATTGCCGGCTCCAAATCTATTAAGAGTGATATAACCTTCGCCTTTTTCAGTTATAAGACCAATTTTGCTTGTTGCAGGAACACTTGTAAATGGCGTGAGATCAACATGCACATTCTCCATACTCATTCCTTAACCGTTCATCTGGCAGTAACGAGGAGAAATTGATTAGAAATCAGAATGTTTTTCGTTGCTGAGCAGTTTCCTCTATTTTCAGCCTTTTATGATTGATACTGTTCAGTGGTAGGATATATAGCGAGAATGTAAATTGATGTTGATCACTGTTAACCGTACAGAAACTGTTTCTTGCGATCACAACTGAAAGCAAACGCACCGATGGACATTTCAAGTGTATTTGAATATTATTCAAAACCTACAGCTAAAATCAAAATTGCCCGTCGGAAAACCGTGAAAGCGCTTGTGCTTTTTAACTGTAGGAGCGTTCAGAAAGATACAAGAATCCATTGAAAAGAGGCTTTCGCAAAGCCGAGAAGGCTACAGTTTCCATTATGTTTGGTAAACTCTGGTTTGTTTTGGTGCTTGGACCTCTGGAACCTCTGGGACCTCTGGGCCAAAGGTTCATGATGTCATTATTTTCAACAGCCAATGAGGGGCAAGAATTTGATTTGCATATGAATAACATTCAAAAAAAAACCATTGAATTTCTAACCGAGCCGGGATAGCGCAATTGGCAGAAGCATTGAATAGGCAACTAATTGGCAAACAAAGAGGCAAACAAAGAGGTGACGGGTTCGAGTCCCGCCTGATTAGCATAAAAAGGAAAAAAAAAGGAAAAAGCGCGGCTTGGATTTGGGAGGGCTTGGGGCGAGGAGAGGGAGGAAAAAGGCCTTGGGAAGGGTATGGGAAGCGGGAGTTGGTACACCGGCCCGGGGGCGGGCCAGGTGGAGGGCAGGGAGGGGGGGCAGGCGGGAGGGGGGGTAGGTAGATAGGTAGATGGGTAGGTAGGGGGTAGGTAGATAATTAGATAGGCAGCTAGGTAGAGGGGTAGGTAGGGGGGTGGGTAGATAGGTAGAAGGCGGAGGGATGGGAGGGGGGGGAAGGAAGGGAAGGGAAGGGAAGGGAAGGGAAGGGAAGGGGGGAAAAGGGAGGGGGAGGGGGTCTAGCCTGCGAGCAAGGTGTCTTGCTGCCGGGATTGGGGGAGGTTTGGGTGGGGTGGGGCAGTGAGAGACCTTGCTCGCAGGCTAGACTGGGGAGGGTTTTGCTGCTCAGCACAATTTTTTTTTTCTTCTTACCTTTGTGAAATTCTTGACTTAAAATAAAGTTTTTTAGAAAAGACGCATTCACGTAAGAAAAGAACGGGAAGAAAAGGACGTGTGCGAAGAAACAAGCGAAATTTATGATTATACAGTTGTCAATACTTGGGATCAACTTCTCCACACTTTGAGACCCACAGGACGCTTTTTCTCACATTCCTTGGCGAGTTAGTCTACTTATAGTATTTTCCTTTTCTTTAATGCAGTGGGGATAAACAGACCATGAAGTTCAAAACTGCTCTTCGTCTGAAGTTGGAGAATTTTCTTCCTTGGTCAACGACCTTGGGGACATTTAACAGCCTGACTTAAAGACTGGATTGGAAGTACCTTGAATTAACCTTGCCTGCGAAAGAAACACGACCTGATGGAATTTCTAAACGTCAAAAGGCCGGGCAAACAATTTAATTTGTTTGGTTCATCTTGTCAAGACTTTTGGGTCAAGTTCGAAACTGATGGAGATCTCCTGGAAATGTCCCTGGGACTCTTGTGCTGTCTCAAGTTAGAGAATGTAAGTATATTTCATTCTGGAAAAAAAACGTCTTTCACCTGCCGTAGGACAGGCAGGACATCACCTTGCTTTGATCTTTCAGGCTCATTTCATGATCATGATTTCGGTGGCATCGGTAGCATTTTAGTATGATTTACAGTGCTACTTGCAGATTAACTATTGCAGTTATAAGGGTACCGGATTCAGACTCGGGTACTGTAGTTGCCTAGTTAGAGGAGAACGCTTTTTC